TGCGGCTGATTGGATATCTAGTGATTGGTCAATATATCCGCCATTCAATCCAAATTGGATGCTAGGGTATCTACGTTTCAAAAGGCCTCAGGGTTTAGAGGCTGGGTGTTAAAGTTAGCATTTTACTCCCTTGTAATATCTCCTGTCTGATATTGTTGATGCCGTTGATAATGGTGGTGTTGATAATGATGTGATTGTATTGATACCGACACCCTCCTACTGGGGTCTTTTGATATCTCGCTGTACATCAACAAAGGCGTCACCCAAATGCGGGACCAGCAGGGTGTGTAGATCATATTACTTCCACATTCATCCACATCTAGACCATCGTCAAAATAAATGATTGATCTACTCAGTCCGATGAAGACTGGCGAAAGACAATTGTGATGAGAATAAAACGACTCACATGGTTTAACTCACCAGGTACCGTAAGTACCAAGATAAGTGCTTCCAAGAGGGTATACAATTAGAATATGAGATTGTGGATACAACAGCACACACAGCACAGCAAGTGTATGCACCGAGGTGGATATCAGTTATACACATACATCTATGGTGTTATCTTATTTATGGAGACGATTTCTCCACGCGTGCGTCGATGTTTCTGGTTATTTGCTTTTGCTACTGTGCGTGGGTGGATCGATCTTGGTATTTCGGCCTCCTGTACGATGGACACTGTACGGAGGACAGTCCGTGTTCCGAGATCTCAGATATGGACCTTGCATGCAATGACTACGGGGATGGCTCCGACACACACGGGGATGGCTCCGTTCATGTGTATTAGACACGGGTATTGTGGATATCGATCTAGATATGGATCTACCAGGAGACAGCTGAAGTCTGTGTGTGCAGTATGTGTGAAGCTTGGATATTTCCTAGGTATCTCTCTATCGACGAGATGTCAAATGTGAATATTTTCATCGATGTCAGACGAAATTACATGGTTGTATAGCTACTTCGTTTACTTAACATGATACGAATATTCATATCAATTTCATTATACATTTCAAAAGATGTGGTATACATCTAGTAGTATGAGATGAGCCTTGCCATTCTAGAATTGGGAGGTAAGCTTTCTTCTGAATCAAACACTCATCTCCACTCTGCTTGGTCGGCGACCAGAGAAGTAGATTCTGTTAGTGGTTGTTTGAGAAGTCTTAGTTGGTTTGAGTTTATATTTTGACATCTTGATAGATATTTATATACAAGGTATATTTATCTAACTATCTAGCCTTAGAGATGGAGTATTTCTGTCTTCGGTCCCGATACGAGTATATCAATAAAATCACCGACAAATAGATGACCATATTCACAATGTATCACTACCTAGTCCTCTCATTTTTATATTATAATGAATACCCAGTTTAAAATCCGAAAGATAAAAAAGAAGAGTATTTCGTACAACGATATAAAATGAATACATACATATACACATAATATAAATCTTAGGGCCTAGCTACATGCGAACAAATAAACACATAAGCAATGGCCCTCTCGCTATTACTAATGTTTACTTATCTACTCGAATTTTTCTTCCTTACATAACACAAGGTTGGAATATTATAACTACATTTATATCTATATCTATATCTATATCTATATCTATATCTATATCTACATAAGCACAACCACCTCCAGCCACTAGATCTAGACCCTTAATTCAATCTCCGTCCACTTCAAACTGTTGACCCCTATACACACATACGTATATTCCTTCAAATCCCGTCCACCCCCCTTCTTTTCGGATATATACTCCTCCACCATCCCAACATATGTTACATCATTCAATCATTCCACGCTTCTTTTTATATCCTATCATCCCAGCTTCACACTATCTCTCGAATCACAATCCCTTCTATTTATTATACCTCTTATGAATCATTCCTAATTCGCTAGTCACAATCTATTACACTATTCCCCACTTCACCAAACATATCCCCTTATTTATTCTTCCTCCTTAAACGTTTATCCCTCTCATCCTCACTACCCATCTACCATCATTCTATCCTCCTCCTCATCCCAAAACTATCAATCCATACCATACCATACCATATCCAATCTATCTCCTTTCATCCAAGTTTAACAGCTCAACTATATCTCCACCATCATCAAAAATTCCCCCTCTACTTCTATCTCTCTGATCCCCTATTTCATAACCTCTCCCTCAATGCTTTATCAAAACACTCCTTCTTCCCTTTCTTCCTTTGATTAAATATTTATATCCCTATATATTCTACTATTTCTCCCCTTAACTATCTCGCTTCATTATTTGATCATTCATCCCCGCCACAGATATAACATCTTTTATTTATTCTACCATCCCTGCTCTTAATCGTTCTACTTCATCATTTAATTATTTCTTCATCAATCCATCCTACTCCTCCTCCACTCCACCTCCTCTCCTCTAAACATAATATCTCACCATCCATCTCACCTTCCCTCCTCTTAATCATTTTTCTTCAATGTTCGATTATCTTTTTATTCCGCTCCCTCTCCCCTGTCTTGCAAATACAATGTCCTTTATCCATCCATCCTACTACTCGAATATTCCTCTCGCCATCCCACTATCCAATCATCTCCTCCTCAACACACTATCCCAAACACACCAACTACCCTCTATACCACCATCCCTCTTCCTTTCCCAATAAAATCTACACATAACCACCAATTAAATTCCACTCGACTCCAATTATTCACATCGGTCATTCACACCAATCATATTTACCTAATATATAAATACCTACCTAGTATATTAAACATTTCTTTCTTCAATCTTCTATTCTTATATTCTTTACTTGAATCCCTATATCCTCATATCTTTAGATCCGATTATTTCTATATGAATATTAATATAGATGTACTCAAGGATAAATATAATATAAACACAGATTCAGATACTTACTCATTACCCACTTAACCTTACTCATTGATTTATTCATTTATATACTTACATATCAAGATCTCAAATCTCAAATCTCAAATCTTGAGGGTGATGATAGTGAATCATTATAATTAGAAAGAATGAATACGAGTTATGAGTCAGTTGGGGATTAGTTATGAAGGTATAAATGAAAAGTCTCAAGTAGAGTACAGAAAGATTATATTATCATATTGATCCGATAATACAACAGATATAACTATACGTTTATAGAATACATACATAGAGTTTCTTCCTACTCTTCCTACTTTCCTCTATCCCTAATCTCCTCGTATACTTCTCTCTTTTTAACTGCCCCTCTACTCTTACATACTCCGCTCTCCCCTTTGACTTTTTCTTTTCTCCTTTTGGAATTCTTTTATATCTCATTCCTTCCTCCCCTTCCCTCATCTCTTCTACTTGCCACCATCTCCTCTTTTCCCCCTTTGCTCTTCCCCTCAACTCCTCCTTTTGCCCCTCTTATCCTTCTTTCTCCTTTTATAATCTCTCAATTTTTCTTTTCTTTTGCCCTTTCAATTCCCTCCCCCTTCCCAACTACTATATAACCCCTCTCTCCTTTCCCTCCTTCCCTCCTTCCATTCTCTCTTTTTCGCATTCCTTCCCCTTCTCATTCCTCCCCTCCTGCTCCCTCTCCCTATACTTCTTTTATCTACCTGTCCTCAATCCTACTTCTCCCCCTCCACCCTATTTATCCTCTCGCAATCTCACCTTTCTTCTTTCTAGCTAGACCCCTCCCAACCTTTTCTTTAACTCGTCTCTCTCACTCCACTCTCTATTTTCTATCCTTCAACTATCCTATCTCCTATATAAACCTCTCTTAATTCCCTCTCTAAATCCTCTCTTATTCCTCTCTTATTTTTTCCTTTTCCCACCCAACTCATTCAATATCTCCATTTCCTAATTCCCACCTTATCTTCAATCCACTTATCCTCCATCCCCATTGCTATCCCTCCCCATCACCAACCCCTCCCTCCTTTTTCGAATTCTTTTTTTTTTTTTTGTTTTTTTTTTTATATTTCATTTCTTATCTTTAATCCTCACTCTCCCCTCTCTCCTCCCTCTCACGAACGACCAATTTTCCATTCTCATTCTTGTATTCTTTATCCCTATCACACCATTTACCCATTTCCCATTTCTACCCCCCCCCCCCCCCCCCCAATTAACCCTACCCCCTTTTCGATCTCTCTCACACTTTATCTCTCACTTCCTATTCTCCATTACCCACCCTCATCTCTCACTCCTCATCTCTCACCCCTCATCTCTCACCCCTCATCTCTCACCCCTCATCTCTCACCCTCATCTCTCACCCCTCATCTCTCACCCCTCATCTCTCACCCCTCATCTCTCACCTCTCATCTCCCACCCCCCATTCCACAAATACAACCCTCATATAGATAAATAAATAAATAAATAAATAAATAAATAAATAAAAAGAATTAGCCGTGCTCTCAACTTCCAACACGCCAACTTCCATCTCCAAAGCTTCAATGTCATCATATACCCCTTCACTCAACTCGAATCCAATCACTTCTAATTTCGAAAATTTAAAGATGTAGAGATAAAAAGATAAAGAGATTCGCGTATTTATAACCATTAATATATAAGTTGAAGAACTATTTGATAATAATATAAGATATAAGATATAAGATATAAGATAGTGAGATGAAATAGTGAGATGAAATAGTGAGATGAAATAGTGAGATGAAATAGTGAGATGAAATAGTGAGATGATGTGAGATTTGATATGAGATGGTAGAAGATGAGATGATATACAACGGTGAGGGTATTATATGATAATACTAATTGTAATAGTGAGAGGTAGCTTCTAACTATACGTATGGGTTCATATGTATATCATCGAATCTCAAAACAGGGAATGAATCATATAATATTAAATGAAGGATGAGCAATATGTAATGTTCATATATTCAGATTTCGATGTTTATTTTCATGTGAACATAATTGGAAGAAATGGACTGGTTAAACCCACTGCACTCGCTTTCACTTCTGCCATATATCTCTTCCAGTGATAAAATCACATACTATCCACATTCAATTTCCACATAATTACCATACCACTAGCAATCCACCAGCCATCCTCACAATTCATGACCATTACTATGCGGGGCTTCATGACCATGTTTCAAAACCCTTTGCGCATTTCCATTTTCTTTCCCATCAATTGAATCATCTACAACTCGTTGTGCTCCTGTCCATCACCATCAGAATCAGCAAGAGCCGTCTTGACCGCCTCTGCGGCTTCGGAAATGACACTTTTCACACCTCCTGATGCTGCTTCGGTAGCTTTTTCGGTAGCTTTATCCGAGAGTGATGATGCGCTATCGGTGGCGCTATCGACTTTATCGGATGAAGAGGAGGAGGTCTTTTCAATAATGGTTTCGGGTTTGGGGACACCGTCAATTCCCATGAGTTCGGTTTCGAAGACTAGTGGGAGAGGAAAGATTAGTATTGTATATGGTAAGTGGGATTTAGATGCAGGGACAGGAGTAGGAATATCCAATGAAAGGTATTTGCTGAAGGGGATGTTCGATACAAGAATGAAAAGTCACTTACTCAATGTACTCTTGGCTGGAATTGGACCCATAGCTCTATCACCATAACCAAACTCGGGAGGAATGGTCAAAACTCTCTTTTCACCAATACACATATCGAGAAGGTTGTCATCCCATCTGCGAGAAGATTAATTAGTATTTCCATCGATATCCTTTCATATCCATCACTACAAGTCAAGAAATACATACCCTTTAATAACACTTCCCTTTCCAACTACAAAACTCAATGGAGATCCACGATTGTAAGAAGCATCGAATTCTTTTCCCACCTTTCCATCTTCCTCCAAATTTCCTCGATAATGAACATGAATCTTATCACCCACTTGAGTTTTGCGCTCACATTCTACGGCTTTGATGACATCAATCTTGACTTCTGCTGCGAGGACCGAGGAAGTGAGAGCCAGGAGGGAGATTGTTGAAAGACGCATGATGAAGGTGATGTATTGTATTGTGTTGTGTTGTATTGACAATAGATTAATTGATCAATTTTGATTGTCGATGGATTGAAATCGATCAAGGTATATTTCGTTGCACAACAAAGAAGTATTGGACACGTTGAGGGTTGAGGGTTGAGGGTTGAGGATGTAAATGGGTGAATTTGGGGTGAAGCCTTATCCCGCATGAAGCTGCTCTCTCGGTTCCAGTGAGTATTAGCCAATCAAATCGATCAATGATAGATAAATGATTACATAACAATCCCATACGTACTGTAGTAGGTTGTAGACGCAGAAGTCACGGGATTTGATATTCTTATTTTCCCCTCCTTCCATCTCTTTTCTGCTTCTTGAACAACATGATTGATTGTTATTGTTACATCAACTTCTCTTCACGATGAGTTGGCTCGATTATTCATTTGCTTGCTTGTTTGTTTGCTAACTTTGACCGGAAATTCCTATTGTAATGTTCACCGAAAAGATACTCGAAGCTCTTTATACTGAAGCTATTTATGCCTCAGCTCTTGATGCCTTGGTATATGCCCAGTACCTAGTATCCAACATACAATCTCTCATGGCGAGTTCATCCATTCATCCATTCATCCATTCATACCTGGGTACATACATATATATCCTTACACCGAAAAGAAACGGCAATGGCATGCGTCATTCATTCAACAGTCAATCAGTCAATCAGTCAGTCAATCAGTCAGTCAGTCAGTCAGTCAGTCATACAAAGACCCCAACTCAATATTTGACTCATAATCTTATCGATATCAAACGAGATACCTGGGTACCGAGGCAAAAAGGCAAAACACGAACTAAGAAACCTCAGCTGAATACATGGAAGCCTCGAAAGACAATCGAGACAATCGAGACAGTCAAACAAAATTCATTCAAGGCAACAATTAATTCAATCATTCAATCATTCCATCATCAGTCACATCACCTTCTTGGAACCGTTTCCCCCCATTTCTCGTATCATCTCATACCGTTTTACCATCCAAAAGTTTCTGCATATTTCCATCCGTCTTGTTTGTCTTTCCTGCCTGTTTCAAAAAATGCCCGATGGAAAGCCACAAGGGAAAATGAGGGAGGGGCCCAAAGGAAACGCATGGCTGTGCTCTCTCGTACTTCCAAGCTTCACCTGTGCCTCCACATCCTTTCTTCACTCTCTCTACATTCGTTCAATTCAGATGGGCTGTGTGTGTCAAAGAAGGTAATGGATCATAGGAAATACCCCGTGTCCACTACCCGATCGTGACTACTTCGCCGGCGGGAGCCTTAAGCTTATTTACTTTAATTTCCCTTTTCACCATATTCCGTATCGAGGGTCAAGGTCGACGTCATCATCTAACCTCAATTCTCCTCATGGTACTTGGATGAAACTATTCACCGAAGTGTTATTGTCCATTGGCTTGGTGACTCATTGCATTGAAATGACCGTTTTGAGTCAAATAACACATTCAAAGGCAGCCACCCATTGGGTAGATGATTCAAACTGTCTCCGTCCTTGACAGATGAAATGGACAATGTCCTTGTTGGGCTTCTCTATCAATGATTTTGCTTTAATTGAAAAGTTGCTCTGTACAACAGGTAACAATTGAATGATTTCATTAGTCAATTCCTCTGTTTCTCTTGGACTATAACAAGTATGATGTTTCTCTTTTTGTTTGCTTTTTCATTTAGACAAGAGTAACTATTAGTTTGATTATACGGAATTTGAAACAACACTACAATACTCCATTCTACGCCCTATACACCTCATACCCCCTTTACGCCCTCTTACAATACAAGAAAACCAAACTTTCGCCTTGTACATCAAGTACATAAAGTTTCCGAAAGTACTTATCCGGAGAACCTCACTTGCCATACACTGATTCTCGTGGATACACATACACACAAAGAACTACTATTATACATCATCGGGAATCTTCTCCAAAAGATTCACAATACTCGTACGAAACTCATTCATCCGATTGTTATACCGGATCAAGTTCAAATATGTCAGGACGTTCATCAAGTAGTGGACAAGGTTATGGATCTAGAGGAAGTGGTGGAGAACAAAGTGTGAAATATAGAGATTCTGCTGCAGGTATGTAGATATCTTTACTATTTTTTTTCACTTATTAAATACAACATTGGACTAAAATATTTCTCTCCGTTCAGATAAAAAATATATTGAAGGAAAAACTTCAAGAAGTGGACATAATCATGTTATCAATCATGGAGATAGTCATAAACATTATGATTCTGCAGAACCGAGGGCAGGTGAAGGTAGAGAGAGTGATTATCATCCAGCACGTCATGAGAGACATGAAAGAGAGAAATTGCGAGCATCGGTAAATCGTCGTTGAGTAGAATCCATGAGGTGGATAGGTGGCGGTTTGAAGTGAGGCGGAGAAATGGGGCTAAGTGACGCCACAGTGAAGGCTACAACCTAGGAAGGCGGAATTGTCTTTTGGGAGTCAGATAACTTGTTGAATTAGTGTGGGGGGTTCTATCATGGTTTGTACCTCTGTTAGTGATGGGATACTACTTCTTTATTTATTATGTGTATGGATATGGGAATTGGCATAGATGGCGTTGAGAGAGATCTGATGGATATATTTTTGGGGTGGGATTTTGGGATTGCGGGGTATTTTTGATGCGTTTGGGATGAGATATATGGGATGTGATATATGGGATGGGATGAGATGGATTAGATAGGATAATATCAGATAGGTCAGTCAAGTGGTTTTTGTATGGGGATGGAATGGAGACGGAGAATAGAGATGTTTATCTATGAACGTATCAACAATTGTAATAAGTCTACTTTACCCCATTTGTGTGGTTTGCATTGATTCTTGAGGGGAATGAGTTATGGGTTTATATGGTGATGTGATGTCTGGATTGAAGATATATCATGTATGCATGTATGCATGTATGTATGTCATTTGGAAGGGTGACAGGGGACCAATCTGCTTACTTCAAACCGGGTATGGACGTTTATGGAGTGGTTCATGCTATGCTGTGCTATTTATGCCATGTCATGTTATGCCAAGCTATGCGATGCTATGGAACACACAACTAGCTAGCTAGCTAACTGCACGAAGGGATATGGGAGTTGGGAGTTGGGAGTTGGGAGTTGTGTTATGTTGGCATGATTAGGGATTTCTTGGGGGAGGGGGAGAAGAATTTGCAGGGACGACAGGGAATTAGTAGGGGGGTAGGAAAACAAAAACAAAAGCTTGGTTTGTGGGGGTTTTGGTTGTGTGTGGTGGGGTGGGGTGGGGTGGGGTGGATGGAATTTGTGTGATGGGATGGGATTTGTGGGGTGTGGAGAAAGGGGAGGGGAAGGTGGAGATGTGCCGTGGGTGTACTGCATGTGGAATTGGTTTACGAGGTGTTTCATGGGGGAGATGTGGTGTGGGTGAAGAGGGAGTGAGGCTTAGGGAGTGAGGATCAGGAATAGAGATAGGGATGAGATTGCATGGGTGAGCGAGGGGGTGAGAGTTGAGGATTGGGGATATTCCTAGTATATGTGATGAGAGAATATGAATATGAATATAAAATGGGACATTGTAGGTAATCTGACCACAGTATGCGGGAAGTTGTGGTGCTTGTGATACTTGAAAAGAGAAAAGTAGCGAGGAGAGGAGAGCAGGTTAAAAGTTGCAGAAAAACAAATAAAGGGAAGAATGTGTCGTTCATGAATGTGGCGTGCTAGTTCGTGTTCGGGAGGTTGCATGGAGATGGATGGTTTGGTAGGACAGCGTAACATGAACGGTAACGGGAATGTTGGGGAAGTCAAATCAATCAGGGTCTTGTGGAAGTGATATGGAATGAACTGTTATGGTGTGGCGTGGTGTGCCAGGTGTGGTATTTATTGGTTTATTGGAGGATGGGGATGGGATGGAGATACTAGGTACGTCTCGGGTAATGGTATAAGGGGTATCGGGGATCAGGATTTGGGATGGAGATTTGGGATGGAGATTTGGGGGTGATGGGTGTGGTAGGTAGGACGAGTAAATCGACGATGGGGATTTTTCATTTATGTACGTACCCGGTAGATTTATATTTGTATTTGTATTTGTGTTTATATTTGTATGGGAAGTTTTTGGACGAGTGATTTGTGGGTAGTGTGCTTGATACTTACTATTGTGCAAGAACAGAAAGAGGTTAGTCGACTGTTGTTGTGGGTTTGGTGACTTTAGGGATGAGAGTTGTACTACTAGTTTACTACCTAGGTATTTAAAAAGGGAGCAGAGGTAAAGAAAGGTAAAAGGGTAGTTCTGAATAACAGTATCAGGCTCAATGAAGAAGGTGTTGAAGAGTAAAATTATAACTCCTGCTGAATTGTGGGATCTTTATCGATCTTGAATCATTGCTAAGGTTTTGATTGGCATCTGGAAAGATGTTTAGCTTATTGAGGTTTTTCAGATAGATAGTTGTGCGACACAATACAAATACAAATAGTCATGTTTCACGGCGCTGTGTGGAGATGAAGATTCGTAGGGATGGGATGGTGAGATGATGATATTGATATTGATATTAACGACAGTGGGAAAAAAAGTATGAAAATCATAATTGTTATTATTATTTATCGAAATTTTAAACAACAATCAGATTAAAAATAAGAAACTTGAGCAAGGGGATCTGATGGAGATGATACTTTACTTCTCGGTACCTTGGGCTCGTCGTGTGTTCTAGACTTCAAATCTTCGGGATTTCCTGTAGCTACTTCCTCCTGAGTTTACTGTATGATCTGCGGAGTTAGTCTATGATATCAAAGATGAACGTTTTACATAAGCTTCTTGTGGAAAAAACTAGATTCACGGGGCTCAGTTCAGTAGGTTAATAATACAATATAAAAAAGACAGGAAAGAAAATCGACATCTTGATACTATTTAAGAAGTATTCTACGGAGTAGCTTGGCATCAATTTCATCATTGTAACAATATGGTGAAAGAAACAAACAGGTGCTGGATCTCGTGGGGGTGTCTTTATATCTGGGTGACTTTGTCGTGGGTATTCTGTGATTGAGATACTGAGTTGAAGGGGGGGAGGTGAGAGGAGGTGAATGGAATTGTGATGTGTGTGGGAAGAATGAGGGATGAGGAATGAGAAATTAGAAATGATAGTGAAGGCTAAATGGATGAGCTGGGATAAGACGAGATAAATGACAGTGAAAAAGGATGATGAGTTGACGGTGAAGTATACTCATTGACAATGCCTTGTTCAATGCTTGATAGTACTAGATTCTCTGGATGTTTATTTATGTGCTTAGATACTCATGTCCTGAGTTACTAATCCCAGGATAATATTCGGTAGTGAATTGAGGTTGTGATAGAGATGCTTTGAACCTGCAGCTGCTTCCACTGGGCTTAATAATGTACTTGAGATTTCCACTCTTCGGCTTGAAGAGAGTGAATAAAAGTCTGGGGCTTACTAAATTACCTGTGTGATTTACTAGATTACCAAAAAAGAGAATTTAGCAAGTGACAGCTGTGTTCCAAGAAGTGAATAACACAGGTACTCTAAAAATTTGATTCAGATCCGCGCACATAAAAAGCACTCTCTGCACCAAAGGGAATATCATCATTACGCATACACCAAAGTGCAGAACATTATGCTTCTCCAATTGCATGGAACTACGGCGTTTGGTTATATTGTAAGTGTGATGTGGGACGTTGAGATGTCTGATTTGGATCTAAAACAGAGGCTTGGAGGATGAAAGATGTGGAGTACCAACTCAATGACGATATATTCTATTCGCTGCTGAATAAATTTTCGGTGTAAACATCTGGGAGCTTGTAAATATCTGACAACGAATACTAGTGAGGAATAGAATTAGAGACTATGGTTTCGAGACGAAAGTCTCTAGTTAAGAGGAGAATTCGGTCCATGATTGGATGTGGTTGAATGACTTCGTTCTACTAAAGTTATTCCTTGTTTTATCACAGATAACTGTGCAAGAATCCTTCATTTGCAGATATGCCTTTTCAGAGGCACTTACCTCCTTATAATACGACGTGGAATCTTTATATATTCGAGCTGGAAGTAGAGGTTTCAGTTAATCCACTTCAGCTCCTATGAATATAGACCTTTGATGTGTGGATCTCGTGAGCACGTTTGTAGCATTATTCTCTTCCGATCTCCTTATTTTGATGCCTATAAACAGTCACCCATGTGATTTTATTTTCTCTGGTAATATCAAAAAATGCATGTCTAGAAGAGATTTTATGGCTGTGCAATATATAATAACTTCCTCCTCGCATGTTTTTGCTTCTTCAGTAACCTCAAAGCAACAACAATGTTCACAATAGGTACAAACTCGGGACTAGCTTGTTGGCGACACTTTTTTCCTGGAATGCTTTTGGATCCAAAGCATTTGAGGATGTAGTCGAGAGAACTGTGATGAAACACCCTTGGGGTGACAACAAAGTGTGATGCAAAGAATAGACGAGAGTGCTATGGCAAATATCCCCAAACACAACGATAATAGAATTTATCAACTCTCCAACCTGATACTCAATCATCCACATCCACCTCGCAGCGGCAGAATGGAGTCTTTCCCATGACACTCCATCCCGACACATCGGAACACCTGCCATACTTTCTGTAGTTTTGAATGTTGTTTATTTGAAATTTTAGACAGAATGTTCGCGTTCTTATGTAGACACAAGCTAAAAATTTCTCCGAATGTCTGGTACTTTAGTGGTGAATACCTACGGAAGATCCACATAGATCTCGAGCTTGGCACTGGCTGTGATCACAGAGTGAATAGAGATATTGGATCGAGTGCGCATTTTTTATGATAAGCTAGGGTACCTATATAAAGTACTGTCTTCGCCGGCGTTCTTTAACCCTAGGTTGGTTAAAATATATTGATGGGTAAGCAGGTCGCTTTCGAAAGTAAGTTGAAATAAGTTCCCTTATTATTAGTCTACCATTTTTTATCCATGAACTTTTATGGATCTGATGCCAGCGGTAAATTATACTGCTCACTCATACACTTGCAATCTCCATTATGAATTCAACTTCTTTCTTTGTCAATTCGAAATTCATCATAAAACTATTGACAGCGAACCGACAGTCACTAACAAGTAAATCCACTCAGCCTGGTCGAAAATGATCACCAGTATGTATCTTTTGTAACACAGATCACGAACAGATTAGCTGGTGTGATTTTTTGTGAGACTCATTACCCTGGCAGTGTGTGCATACACAGCTTTATGGAGGAGTATTGATGGTAAATAGATCTCTTTTGTAGTTCTCGAGGAAGTACTCATACCGTCAGGTTCTATTGGGCCAGATTTTGAGTCAGGCTGAGGGATATGTGCTTATAGTGAATCTTTGGAGAAACCAGAAATCTGCGAGGATTGAAATACATAAATCCTTTCCCAAGGCTCTCTGCTTTCGATATCCTTCAGCTTGAAATTAATCGAGCGAGTATATGTCCTTGTAACCTCTCCACCTTTCCAACTCTTCAAGCTTCGAAAGCTGTGCGAGAACATCCGTTGAGAGGGCGTAGAAGAGAGTGGTTCTATACAGAATTCCTGTCCATCCACGAGCTCTGATGTTCAAATTACTGCCGAAAACAGTACTTCGTTGTCAATCTACTTATCCCTGAATATCATTGCTTCTTCTTACACATTGAAATAACACTTGTAACAAACAGAATAAACGCAGAAATACCAGTGGTTTTACTGAAGTCATGATATGAGCAGGAACAACATGGTGTGAAATTCTGGACGCTTGGGGTCTCTGTCTTGATTACTTTTTCAGCTTTTGGCGGCTTAAATAGTGAGGTTGAGATACAGAGCCGGATTATAGGTGCTCTCCATGGGCATGACTAAAAATAGTGAATATAGTGAGTTCCTGTACATGAACCGTTTTACGTAGCTTGGCTAAAATCCTCACGATTTCTTGGGAAGATTACCAAAAAGCTTTTGAACGTCTCGCATTCATTAAGAGGACACCCAGAACTTCGCAGAATTCTCGTCAAGCTATTAAAAGTTTTGATGAATGATCCGGTGCAGAATACTGGTGCACAAGAAAATTATGTAGTATTATAGTATAGATCGGAGAATAGAAGTTATTTCGTCTCTTGCCAAAAATCCGTCTTTCATCGTTTTCATAAATGTCTTTCCTTCACCGACACTACAATTGTGATGATCTCCTGAGGTTTCTTGCTATGATGAATCCAAGTTCCTGTAACAAAACATCCGGAGGTATTGGACCTTGATCTCATGATAGAGTCTTGACCCTGACATCATGATCTCTCGGTTCCGTTAGGGTGGAGTTATCCATACTCAGGGCTATTTTCTGAACATCGTATTGAGACTTTGACCTATGAATTCCATCTGAATGATATGCTCAACCACTCTTAAAAGTTGAAAGTTAATTCAAATATTAGCCCAGAATCATCGTAATCCACCTGAACTTCGAAAAGTCGGTTATACCGATGCTTTGGTGACCATTAGTAAATGATCTGAATTCTCCATAAGTTAAAACCATAGTTATAAATCATTAATTTTGAGGATTGACATATATACCATAGCGATATCAAAATAGAGATAGCTGAGATTTCCATGACAGTGGAACTATCCTTCCGTGAATCGGAATCCCAAGGCCACAACTAGTACTCATGGTCTCATACTAGTACTCATAGTCTCATACTAGTACTCAAAGTCTGTCTATGGACACGTATATATCACCCACAAATTCTTTTCTGAACCGAAAAATCTTATTCCATAAAAAAATTCTCGAGGGAGTTCAAACCTTTGACACTCAGTCAGTTGTTCCAATCACCCAGAAATTCGAAAAGGGGCAAAAATATGGATCCAGATATTCTTGAATTGCGAGGATTCATTCGCGATCCTAAAAACGTGGATGAACTCCTACACAACCGTCGATTGTATGAAGAATTCGTATTTAAATATGAGATCTATCTCGCAAATGTAGTGAATTCTCACACCTTTTTCAATTCCTATGGTCCCATCCAACTTGGCCACTTCAGAGACGTATCCAATAAATGTACCAGCATCTACTTTCTCAAAGGAAGAACCCAGGGAAACAAATCAGCTATACCATCCGTCCACCGATATATATCAGAACAATGGTTCGAAGGAAATATTCACAATAAAGATATCACATTTCAACGCTTTTTTGCCAAAATAGTGCTCATGTCACCATCGTACGAAATCGATCATTGTGTTGAACTCCACAAGATTTTTTGCAGAAAATTTGATGGCCGCAGAAAGAATCGAATCCTCTCCTTAAAAAGTAAAGATAACCACAAAGTCGCAAAACTACGGAGTTACGACCCAGCACTAGAAACGGAAGATCCTCATGATTCAAAAGACTATAGAATCACATCCTTGTTCCGAAGTGTGATGATTATTATGAGAGATTGCAAACTCGATGTGCCAGCCGCCGAACGAAAAGTGTTATTGATGAGAGTTGGGATCAAGAACGGACTTGTTTTATCCTTCAACTTTGATGGAGTTGAACAAGTCGAGGATGATGATCCCGATTTCATACCTCCAATCAATAGCATCATAACAACCTTAAGAGAAGCGGTGGCATTCATCATGCGACTCCACAAATCGTTTGAGAGTGTTTTCCCATCATCAAATGAACGGAACACTGGAACATTCATCACAGACTCCGGAAAGTCAGTATCCTTGACGACGGCAGAGGAAATAGGATATGGAGGAAGGGAAGTCGTGGGACCAAGCACTAATTGGGTCAATCCAACCTCCGAAAATATTCCTCACAATTGCTACAAAGATTTCTGCCATGCGTCGTATGCTGAGATGAGAGATGGATTCTATGATGAGGATTCAGAAGCGAGAATTCAACGAGAACCAGGGGCACCTACATATGGTCCGAGCAGTCAACTAACCTTACCTATAATACCAACTCCTAGCTTCAGCATTAGCACGAACTTCGACACTCGAATGAGTTTCGCTAACATCGCCAACGATTTGTTCTCAATCTCGCATGATGTCTCATCAGCTACAAGATAAAAGTGTACATGAATAGATGTGCAGATCTCAACATCTTCAACTATTGGGCCTGTAGTTCAGATATCGGGAGATTTCACTGGTACGCGTACTCTCCAATCCTAGACCGACAAACATCACTATGGAAACAAATCGAAGTCTCCACAGACGTATATCAATCGAGGTTGCAAGTACCGAAGTAATAATGTGTAATAAAAGATAAGGCGGGGATGCAGTGGTCGAGTTTTAGGAGGCTGCAGGAGCAACAAAGTAACTTTTCTGGAAGAGCATGGCAGGGGCTGATATATAGACAATGTTGTTACTATATTCGTATAGAAGTTGGAAATTTGAAGCAGCAAAGGAGTCAATGTTGGGAAACTGGTTGCATTCACGGACCCACCTATTGTATCGCGCCTGTTTAAACCCCACATAGATCATGATGGTTACGGTTCTGATGGAAGGGGATCTCTACTAGGAAAGATATTTGATCATAGCAGTTAATTTCTTAAAGTAATATTTGCACACCTATTCATATATATTGAACTCACACACGTGAATTTGACACTCAGGGAATCAATAAACTTGGGACTTAGCAAAAAAGAAGTGCAGCCGAGGTTCATTTCCAGGAAAGATATATCATGAAAACGCTGAAGCTATGTCGACCGACTTGGGAAACATTGGGAAAGAGAGTGGCTGAAACTTAGTAAATATTACCTGATGTCTACATAATGATCAGTTTGTGGGCAAACAGTCGAACACTTGGTTTTGGGTTTCGAACGATAATGGAACTCTACATATAAATTTTCCACTTCGTTCCGGTTTCCAACAGCGTCATGAGGCAGATATTTCAAAGATAATCTGGAAGCTTACGATAAACAGGCATGAATATCTGAACCAATTCTTCGATTGCTTGTAGTGGTACTATCCACGGGATGATAGATACTTCACGATATCGGCACCAGGCATTGATTATTAGCGAAGGTGTGAATATTATTATGTATTGCCGCTAAAATTGATCGAGAACCATGTGTTAACTTATGCAATCACATAAAAGTTGGCCAATTAACATAAATTACCAAGTATACGTTCTTCCCTTCTAATATTTAGCAGATCGATCCTCATTCATTGGCAAAAGCCTGAATGCAAGAGTCACTACTATTCACTTACTCCAACGTTCTGGACTCTGGATAGCTTACTCAACTACACTCTCAGCAAGACACCAAAGTGGACCAATGAAGACTTGGCGTTTAGATGTAACTACATTTGAATATACTACCAAATGGGTGATTTTTCCAGACACGCAACATAATCTACTACTTTTCCAATCATTGGAGGATTGAGATTTCGATTGACTCAACTTTTGCAATGGTTTGGGAAGTAGGCAAACTATATCTTCGGATGTGTAGGAATAAGCAGGAACTATTACTTCATTATTGATCTATGATCTACATTACGCATGAAAAGCTGGCAGCTCTTCAATTTATATGTTCATGGAAACCTGATATGCTCATGCATCTTCTAGAATTGGGAAAACTGGTAATTCTAGAACAATCTTTCGATTTTAGAGGCCATTTCTAGTGGAGCTTCTCCATAGTGATTCCCCTATATACTCCAATACCCACTCTAACCTAGCTAGTTCAGATATATCATTTATTAGTTTTTAAATGGCTGATGTTCCCTGAGATCCATATCTGGATATCGTATCAAACTATTCATCTAGGGGATCATAGAATGTACTTTCAATCGCATATGGCTTGAGAAAATTGCTTGTTTACAAGTTTATGATATAGTCTACCCGAATCGATTTTAGATATGCAACATTCTTTGAGATTCACTGCTCCTCCAATCATAAATCGTTAAGAAACCGTAATCCTAGTGCTTAATCTATCAGGATCAACACAATCTACCGAAAGCTTCATTTCCAGTCTTAGAATAAGAAGGATCCAGCACTTAGCTCCCATAGGGAACATCTATAGTCTATCCGGTGGAATTTCAGACGTGCAACATTCTCCAAATCTCGCATTGTCCTCCAATAATGTACTGCTAAGAACTACTACTATCATTCCGTCTCATAAAGTGTTGTAGAAGCTTCCAGAACCTTAAACTCGTCTGTGCAATGACAGGTATTAAACACTGAGGTCTTTAGGTGATCTTCCACTTACCTTGAATAGTCTACCCGAAGAATCTTAAAACGTGCAGCATTTCGTAGGGTTTGTAGTATTTCCAGATCATCTGACACAAAGTATAGCCGCATTTTTTCAGACGTGCAACACTCTGTAAAGATTTCTTTCCTCTCAATCACCCCACCTAATGCTCCTATCGTTTCCTTCGTGTGTTCCAATAAGTACAACATGTAGTCAATCGCACACTTCAAACATTGATACCTAGGCACGTAGTAACTTCACAGTCTTCCGCAATCATCTGACTTCCAAATTCTGTTCTTAATACTCTCGTCTATTCTAGGGTTGTAACACATATCGAACCGCACATTTCGACCCTTCATATTCAGACATGCAACAAACATCAAGCTTCATAAATCTCTCATCACTCATTCGTCGACATATCTCATAGTGCAACGCACATCTCAGACTTACTTTCTTTGATATACAACTAAGCGAAAGGCTATTGTTTAGAGTTCGCACACACCAGTTCCCCCCAACCTCTGTTCTTATGGCCGCTACAGGTTGGCTTGTGTTTTGAGAAGGCTAGTCTGTAGACGAATCGTATATGGACTCCGAAAATCGAAATAGAATCACTAGAAACCCATAGACCAATATCAAATTTGCAATTCGAGTAAAATGTGCTGGATTAGTCTACCAATTTTTCGCATTCCGGATTTTGAGACATGCAAAAATATCAACACATACACATTTCAGAAATTTGCATTCGTTAGAAATGATGTAAACATTGGAGCTACTGCCATCGGCACTATCTTCTGTGTAGGTTCAGAGTCATGGCACTTTCTCATCACTTACTTTCGAACACTTAGTTTCTGCCCATTGTGTCTATATTTTTGAGTTCCAATGAATTTATATAAAATCCATAACTCAAATGCTCGAGTGACAATTAATCAAGAAAATTCTAGATTGGGTTTGAACCGTGGTGTAAGAAAACACGTAAGACGCTCCAGGCATTCGAATTCATGCTGCCTTATGTTATAACGAAGGGATGTTTGTTTTAAACTACAAAAAAAGGCACTCTTTGAGTTGTGTTAATGATAAATAGCGGTAGCTCGAGAGATGATGTCTCTCCCTGTACGTAGATGTCAACAAAAAAGAAAATCTGTAGACGTTCCGAACAAAAGCGCTGCTGACGCTCTCTCGCCTATGATTGTGTGATCAATCAATTGCAGCCTAGATTAGTGGAAAGTAATACACTTTCAATCTGTAATCATTCACGAAGATGAAGGAAATATTAGCCAAGAGACTCACACAGCCGCACCTATTAATTTGCTCTCCGACCTCGCCAAGCACAAATTCGCTTAATATAATCGTGAAATCAACAACCTACCTACATAGGTAATCGGAGGACTAATACTATACTAGACTAGACTACATTAGACGAGATCAACCACACAGAAGATGAAATACTTTCAAATCTCGAAATCACCTCAGAGAATCGGGGAAATTTTAAGCTGAGGGTTTGACAAAATCAATAGGGGTCTTATGATTTACTGAATCTGATTGAGCTAAGTACTAATACCTATCACAATCGATATCGGCTCATACTTCCGGAGCACAAGTTTTGTTCATCATTTACCGTATTCGAAATATTTGGCGTGTAACGAATGTTCTTCGTGCATGAAACCGGAACGTAGAATGGCTCTCGATGATATATAACATAACAGTGTTTTGTTACACTATTGACCAATCTAGATCTTCGAGCTCGGAAATCGAAGTACCTGTAGCTTCCTATCCTGTAGCATTTGTATAGGGTCTGGCCGTTTGAAATTCGGATGCTTGAGTTTTAAACTAGAAGAACCGAGTTGCAGATCTACACAGAAGTCAATATCTTGGTATCTTGTAAACGCTTATTAGACGATTGAGATGATCCCACAACTGTCGGCCCGTCCCGAGATTCAGACCTGCAAGAAACAGATATCATCTGATCTTCGCAAGGACTCCGATGGTTTACCGACAGCCCTATAGTTCAACTAGCTGGAAGATGGTTTTGTTGCACGTCTCACTTCAGGGCACGCGAATGTTCCTGAGCTATCACCGCGAAGTAACCAATAGTTGTTTCAGATTTTCTGTACGTTGCAGGTCTGTATCAAGGGCACACGAGATTTTCAGGGACTATATCACCATAATGCTCCGGAAAATCCTGTGCCCTGAATTCAGATCCGCAACAAAACGAATATCACAGGAAATTTCCGTCAACTCACCGCAATGAATCCGATTACCCTGAACTCAGATGTGTAATAAAGATAAATATCTTAGTCTTCCCCTGAGATCCTTAGTGTGAATGTATAGCGCACATACCTACCACGTTTTCAACCCCACAAGAAAAGTTGTTCCCTGAATCTGAACGTGCAATGACCATGATGCCCTGAATGCAGACTTGCAACAAAGTCATGTATCACGAGGTCTTCGCTAAACTATAGGCGCTAAACTGTAGGAGCTAATCGAGCGAGCTTTCGTACTACCATCCCGCGTGCGGAATAGAAGTGCAACAGTAGCCTGGATGAATTTTCTATTCGTTCTTATTCGTTCAAATGCTTCTATCTAAAGAAAACAATCTAGAAGAATCTGTTAGATCCGCCACGTTGCAACGACCAATTATTTCTTATTGGATGATTCATGATCTCTTTGTGGCAGTTGAATGCTCAGATTTGCAACAAAATGTGCCTATATATATAGCCTCTGCTTGGATTACGTATAAATTCGCGTGGTAACTCTTCAAAATACTTTCCTCGTGGAGTTTCCACGTGGTAATTGCATGATCTGGATGTAGAAGTGCAACATAACACAGAATTGGGTGACTTCTTCACCCCACATGACGGAGAAATCAAGGTCTAGTGCCTCATTGGCGCGCAATTGACCCCATTCGAATGACTTTGTGGGGATTTCCTCTCCAAAGGTAAATCCCTGCGAATATTTTATCAGCTGACCCATAGAGAGGAGGTAATCAGACTGCTGATAGAGGATTAACTAGACTTTGGGTTAAGAATGATCTTGTTGACTGAAAGCATGTTTCTAAGATATGCAACAGTCGCTCAATTCTCAAAAAGCATATACTATTACAAGAGCTAGAGGAATTGTTTAAGGTCTCTTCCGTCAAAGGTCAAGTATTACAAAAATAACTTAAGAACGAATCGCTGAAAGTATCTTCAAGAGACACAATACAGCTCTCTTTTAAAACCGAACCTGCAGAACATATACCTGGGTGGATCAAGGTGAACACAATAACAAGATATAGATCTCTAAGGGCACAAAGAAGGTGTATATAATCTTTTTCACGTTCATGATGTTCTCCTCATCGACCACTTTAAATAAGCTAGCTCAGGAACAAATATTGAACATATGCAACCGCAGATAGTCAGAGCGCTCGGAATATATTCAAGTTTCGCTTATAGAGAAGCCAAAGTAGAATAGTTCCATTGATCAAAAGTGTATTATTGAGATATGCAACATACTGTATAAAAGTTTCTACACTGCTCAATGCAATTGACAACCTGGGTACTGAACTGGTGTGGTACCAGAAAAACGGATTTTATTGTTAATGGACATGGTTATCATTGGACCAGTCATACCCCTTAGGGCTCTGGCATCAATCTTATCATACATTATATGCCTATTCAGGCTAGCACCTTCTTCTGTACCGTATTCTTTTGAAAAATTCGCCCAAAACTAGCAAGGATTGATAATATAAGCTCATTGTAGGTTAGGGTTACGGAAATTATTAGAGTTGCTGATTATTCGTCAAATGCCTAGAAATCCAGTTGAATTCTTCTATTTTGAGGCGTTTTACTACCTTTAGAGGGGAGCTAATTGACCCTAAAATTAAGCATCCTTGCTAGCCTTGGGCGAATTTAAAAAAAAAAAACGGTATCAATCCGTCCCAGAGAATGTTAGGCTGCGCACAAATTATCTGTACCCATAAATTATCTGTAGATAATCTGCTTTACAGGTTATCCATTAGAGATTCTATCCACTCTGCAAATTATTTATTGAAACTTTAAAATTACTTGCTTTGTATAGATAATTTATAGATTATTTGTAAATAATCTATTTACTTATAAATAAATAGATTATTCATAAATATATAGGTTATCTACAAATAATTTATGGATTATATGAATATATCTGTTTTTTTCGCTTAAAATATAAAGCTATTTCCAAATTATTTTCCAGCCCAAAAGTGATTTTATATTAATTTTTATATTAATTATAAAATTATACTAATATTATAAAAGATTATAAATAATTATATAATGTATAGGTAGATGAATATCTGTAGATAATTTATACCTGTCCTGTAGGTTACTCATTCAGATTTTTGAATTATCCACTCCATAGATGGATTATCCACAGATTATCTGTCGAGGCCATTATCCGCCCCGCGGGTACCCGTTGCGCAGCCTAGAGAATGTTTTCAAAATACGTAACAGATAAATCAGTAGTACCCTGCATGAATCGACAGTTAGAAGACCATTATTGGATTCGTACTAAGTGATATTTCTCTTAATCAAGATACATTTAAGTAAAGTTGATGAAGTGCTTGGTTCGCCATGCAATATTGTCAGTTATACAACGAATACTCACCAAAGTGGTGATGGTGAGGATATCAGAAGAAGGTGCTAGCCTGAATAGGCATACAATGTAGGATAAGATTGATGCCAGAGCCCTAAGGGGTATGGCTGGCATATTGGTAGTCAGGTCCATTATAATAAAAAACATTTTGCTGTATCATCCAAATTTCATGCAGTAATATTATGTTCAAAGTTTGAAGTGGTATCAACCTACAGGTTTCACTTCTCAAAAAGATGTACCTCTTGCTGAGGATACCAATTATGACAGTCATTACCAAAAGCGTATACTTCGGACAAGCAACAGAACTTTCGGAGAGCCCGAGGAGGCTTCATTATTGGCAAGTTCAGACAAGTTTGATCGGGCTGGAACAAAGTAGCTGTGAAGTTTATTCAAGTGATAGAGGAGGAGAAGCTCCGGAAGATTCTAGACTTGAGTGATAGTGATACGGAATGAACATTGGTGCTTTGCTTGAGCACCGACGAACCTATAAGTTCTTCCCCTAACATAGAGGGGAAGTCTGTAGATATTAATAGTATGTTGCCGAGTACTAGGTTGCTGATTGTTTGTCGCAGAAAATAGAAATTTGTCATAATAGACTAGACTACCATTGAGCCAGAACATACCCTTAAGGGCATGAAAGCCGACATTATTGTACAAAATATGCCTATTCAGGCTAGCTTCTTCCCTGGTCTCCCGAGGCTCAGAGACAGCTCTGCCGTTCTAGACTTAGGGTTCGTATTAACTAGGTATACTAGATGCTTCACTAATTGGTGGTAAAACGAATCTAAATATTATCACCGATTTTTCCTCTTACATGGAACCTTCCGTCAAACTTCGGAACAAGCTTTGCTTTTCATAAGCTAGGATACTAAATATATATATATACGATGTCCCTTATTCTAAAATAGAGGATACGAAGAGCTAGTTGTCGATAATCAATCGTTATTGACATAAAATCGGGTGAGCAACTTTCACACTGCGTTGCATTGATGCTCTTGTGCAAAAGCTTAGAGAATCAGTTGACTCTGAGGAAAACCATCAACGATCTGATTGATCTCGATGCTTTCTACAGAGATTTGACAGTACCTAGATATCGAGAGGAACTCGCCCAATAGCCATTTCCACCAACAAAAAAGAAACAGTCAGAAGAAGGTGCTGGCCTGAACAGGCATATATTGTATGATTAAATGGATTCCAGAGCCCTAAGAGGTATGATTGGCATATTAATAGCCAAATTCATCATGATAAAATCCAGTTTTCTTAATCCTTAAGACTCCTTCTTCTTATAGACCGAAGTATGGCACTAGCAAAGTTTATACTATCCAAAAATCGTTTCCTGTTCTAGACCAATCCTCTTGCTGAATCGAAAATAGACCATTCGAAAGTTGCTTCTGGTAATATAAAAGTGGCAAATCTTTCTAAATATAGGGCATGCAGGTACGAAATATAATTTAAATACTTCATGGTCTCGAATGACGTGCAGCAAGGCATAAACTTTAAAGAAGACGCTTACCTGCTAAACCGATTCAAAGTATAAGTTCTCGATGAGGGGAACTCTTCATGTTCTACCGGGGCAAAGGGGAAGGGTGAGGATTTCCATCGCTAGATATTATGTCAACTCACATAAAACATCTAATCGAGATGAAATGATAAATATACAAAGTATTCGACTTCACAGGGAGTCTTTCATCAGGATCAGGAGATAGAAATGATCCTCAGACAAGTAGTAAAAGTCAAATTCACGGAGAAACTCTACTAAAACAGTTTACAAAGTAAGAAATACACCAGTTCGGAGAATTCTTCCCGCTAAGTCAACTACCCCACTTTCCGACCACCCCCTGTTTCCGACCACCTAAAAAATTCATATTATCTACACTTAAAACTTTAATAACTCAATAACTATTGAACTTCAATGAAATCGCCTGTAGAATCACTTTCTATAGCACTAGAGCTATCATCTACCTCATCTTCACGATCTCCAGCTTCAATTTGTGTACGCCTTATAGCTCTAATCCCTGCGAACTTCGAATTTGGAGATACCACAACCTTTCGCCTTTTTCTAGGTAATGCTTCATCTAATTGATATTCTAGCTTTCTAATCTTATTCTCTGCCTCTAAGAGTTCATAATCCTTAGCATCGAATCCTTTTATAATCTTGCGAAATAGTAATCTTCGTGTTGGCAAATCGATCTCCTTCTCTTGAATCATTATATCTCTATATTTTCTGATATCGGCTCCTTTTTGAGGGGTTTTCCATTGAATAAACGATGAATATATATTCCATTGAAGAATAGGATCATCATCAGATTCAGGATTAAGTGATAAAACCTCTCTATTGCTATTTTCAAGCAAAAGTCGACTCATAAGAGGTTTAGCCATATTTTTGGGCCAAAGACCACTAGCTTGCCACCCAGACTTGATATTTTGAATAGTTAAACCTTCTATTCTAGCCTTCTGATAGCAAGAAAGGAAATTGCGCTTTCCAATTGGTGAGGAATCGGATAATAGACTTAATTTATTAAGTTCGATTCGATATGCACTTTTTAGGGGTGAGAACACAGATAAATCGAGTGGTTGTAGTACGTGTGACGTATGTGGTGGGAGAAGTAAGAGATATACGTTGTTATTAAAGCATTCTAACATAAATGCTGTAGTTTCATGGCTTCCGTGTCCGTCCAAAATGAGGAGTCTTGAATTTTCCGGCTGAATAGGGGTAGTTTGAGGGATATAGATCTTTTTCAGCCATTCTAAAGCTGTAGCATCTGTAGTCCATCCATTTTCTGTAGCGGTAAAGTTCCAACCCTTGAATAGAGTCAAATCTGTTGGAAACCATTGTTGTTGAACTGATTTTCCCTTATATATTACAAGGGGAGTAATGCTTTTTCCATTGGCTGAAATGCATTCTATAAAAGAGGTCCAAATTCGAGATCCAGGTTGCTTTTTTTGAATAAATCTTCGATCAGTGCTTCCTACTACTAGTCCGTTAAGACCCTGACCCTCCATTATACCTGCTTCATCCATATTCTATCTGTTGGCCGGCTTAATAGCCTTGATTTCAGGGATTGCGAGGTTCCGGAACCACTTCTTAATAATATCAGATGTAGCACCTGAAACTCGTGCAGAATCGATTTGATGTTGCTTCTTAGTTCCAATATTAGGATGCCTTCGAAAAAAGCTATGTATCCATTTCTTTCCAAGTGAGGGATCCTCCCCTCGTACAATAAGGAGGTGCTCTGCCATCTCTCTGATTTGACGATGTGTAGGGCTAGTACCAAGAGCTTCCTGTACTAATATCCATTCTGCTAGTCGATTCTCCTGAATTGGAGATAACTTTTGAAGTATTTGGGCGCCTTTTTGATGCGAAACTCCACCATATATTCGATCGTGAAGTGTGGTACGTGGAACACCATAATCCAAGCTAGCTCTTCGTATGCTTGCTCCATTTGTAATCGCTCTAAGAGCCTCTGCGATATCTTCTTCGGTATATCTATTCTTCATATCACAATTATAATAATATCAAAATTTCAAATCAATTGATTAAAGCATTGTTGAGTTATTCAAAGTATAAATTTTATAATTACTCAAAGCGGTGTGGTTTTTGAGGTGGTCGAAAAGAGGGGGTGGTCGGAAAGTGGGGTAGTTGACTTACACCGGAGAAAGGGAGTAGAGTTGCCAAGGTTCTACCATTTCCACGGATCGTATGCGTCATACATCACATTGATTTTTTGTTCAAAGCATCAATGCGATGTCGAGTACAATACACGTGCATCGTAGTTCGAAAGTGATGGTCAGCGACTTGGACGTTATTTCTGTGAAGAGGGCCGTGAAAGTATTGATTCACATCATGGAGCTTGAACTCACAATGGTATAGTCGACTGTTCTCGCCAATAAATACAAGCTTCAGTAGCTGGAGATAGCACAAAGGTTGTTGCTAGAACATGGGAATAGTAATTTCACATTCACGTCGTCTTCAATAGTACTGACTCCTGACAATATGCAAGCTTTCAATGGATGAGGCTGACTCATGATCAATTACACAAATATAGGAATATGTTATCATCGTCATCATCATCATGGGTCAATCATGAGAATAATCCACAATGATAGGGAGTAAAGACCTATATCTCCCATTCCTAAAACCTAGCAACTCAAAACGTAATCTCCAGCTCAACCAAACTAAACCAATCAACCCCCCCCAAGCTTAGTCTTCGCACCTGAGAACATTATTTCTAATAAAGTCTTGAAGTTGAGTTAAAACCCGAGATCCTACGCTACCCTACCTACCGAGATTCTCGGCAAATATCGTAAGAATTGCATACCTACCAATTCCAAGAACTTGAACTCTCCCCACACGATCGTAGAGAAATAATTTATGTTCTAGTTTGATCATAAAGGGGAATTAAAAAATCAATACACATACCATGAGAGAACGAAATTCGTCACCCAAACAAACTCTACATCCTATCTCAAATTCTCATCTCAATGAATCCCATCAAACCCACCCCTCAAACTCCAAACTCCTACCCAATTACCTATCAATACTCTCCATATACATACATCACCAATTTCTTCAATAATCTAAATTCCAATCCCAATTCCAAGATATCACACCACACGTCAATTAACTTTTCCAACGACGTCAAATCAGAACCAAAATGTGGGGAATTGTGACAACCAAGCTCCTCGTCAAGGAGATTGTTATGATTGAATACAATTCTATTTAGAAAATCCGGCTCTGGGAAAAACTCGATAGTTACTGGGTAGGTAGGTGAAAACGAGATCTTTCTCCAATCCAACAAAGTTATAAGAAAGTATCACATACAGCTCATACTTCTATTTTTCTTAAATTTAAATTTAGAATTCCCTCGCTTCCCATTCTCCTTCCCTTTCTCTTTCTCCTCCTCCTTCTCCTTCTCCTCCTCCTTGAAATTCAATAACAAGAACTTTCCCATCTCATATCATATCATTCATCGCCAACTTCAAACCCCTCAACAATTGTGCGAAAGCAAAACTTGCAGTCTTGGATGAGATCGTCCAAGACTACCTCAATAAAGTTGCGCTAGATACCTACATAAGCTGGTGCCAAGGTACGTATATGGTATGGAGCTCATCTCACTATGATTATGATTCGCGTGATATGTAAGTGGGTGTGGCTAGGCTAGTGATGTGGGGTTGGGGTAGATATAGAAACCAAGCTATATGAGATTTCTGATGAGGAAATTTATTCTCTTTTTGTAAAAGATGAGAGGATATGTATTGTAACACTGACCTCAGAAGTCTTATTGCTGAGGGGGGGGGGGGGGAGGATAATATCATGCTATTCAGCATTCAAAAGTTTCCTCGCCTTGCAGAAATCGAACAATGATGGTTTGCGGGGATATCGAGACACCTTTCCTGATCTATGTCCTTCAGACTTCAATTTCGATGGTGTACCGGAGTTATATAGACTTAATACTTCCCGAAACTCTCTAATTCCCCCCAACAGCTTCTCTTATCCAATCATCCAACACGCCCGCGATAATATCACTATTCAACTCCATAAACTGCATATGGCCATTCCCATGTACATCAGCCACTCGAGGATCCTTCTCATCACCCAACTTCATCCACTGCACCTCCACACCCGCTTGCTTCAGATATTCCACCGTACATCCGTCATAAACCCTATGAAAACTCGCTTCTGCAGATTCCACTAGGACTTTAATGCCCTTCAGATGTTTGAGCTGTCTCGCTGGTTCTCTTTGTAACCAGCATTCTTTTAACTCGTGATCTCCAGCTTCTTGGTTCGTGACGAGAATTTTTTCTAATACCTCTCCAATCTCGAATTCCGGTTCGTACTGCAATGGAATATCTGTAATTCCATATTTTCTGGTAAAACCTTCCGGGGTTGTTGGGGGGAAAAGTACGTCTTGGAATGGAGGACCAGTTGGTTCGATTGCTACGATAGCTTTCACCAATTTCGGAACTTTATCTGCGATGACCCAGGGCATAAGACCACCCTGCGAGTGACTCAGTAGGACTGCGGGACCTATACGATTGAGGAGTGCCGCCCCCGCTTTTTGCGTGTTGATTTCTTGAACTATCGTGTCGGATTGGAATTGAACTGTAGAGGCATAGAAAGCGTCGAAGATGGGGTCTCCTATTGAGCCATTCTATTTGGCTCGAAGAGTTTGGTTAGTGGTTTCACTTGCTCGAAGGCTCGGAGTTAGATTTCTCATGAAGGGCAGTACAAGGAAAGGCAACATACACCAGGCCACTGAGTATGCAACGCCGCTTGAGGCCACAAGTTATATCTCTCCGTCGCCGTGAATCTCTGCATTGTTCTCTCCGCAGTATAAGTCGCCAATGTTGCATTACCATTTGGATTCCACGCGCTTCTTCCTCTCGCCGGTTGGTCCAGAATGTATACTTCATATCCATGGGATAAGAAATAGGTTGCCCACCCTGGTGATCCATCGGGTTTGTTGAGCCAGTTCTATTTCAGTTCGCGATTTAGTGCGTGCGCATGTGATTTCTGAGTCTGAAGACAGGGCACTCACGGTACCAGTCATGCTTTGACCATGAATAAATACAATTGGATAAGGTTGTTCAATTCGACTTGGAACGAGATGTTCCACATACATCTGGTTAACAAACAATGTATTATTGGTCGAGGTAGTGACATATTCACCACCAACATAAAAGTAGTCTCTTGAAGCAAAGGCCTCATTGTGAGGTTCACGATGATGTTGGTAGGTTGGAGCGGACAGCACATTCCAAGGACCTAGACATATCAGAGAAGAAACAAAGTGAAAGGATGAATAGTGCATGATAACTTGTGGAAGAAATTCAAAATTTTCAACATCTGAGGAATTCTACGGAATGAGGTTTTGTGATCATGTATAGAATCATGATGTTGAAGAAAAACACTTGCTTATACAATCATGCTGCATGTAGGTGTGTATTGGATCTGCACATATCACTGGTTAAATGGGAGCGCATAGGATAAATTAGAATCGATGAAGGAGATCATCATACTATATGTCCTTAGAACTTACATGCATGTCTCTTACTGAACGAGACCACCAAGACATTGCTGCAAGAGCTACCCCACATTCTCACTGCAAGGGTAAATCATGAAGACCAATCCTGCCTCAATTGAAGGACATAATTGGTTATCATTTTGGATGTGGTTGTGTAGGAATATACGAAACTCTACATACTGTGGTGAGCATGGGGTAATTGCTAATCAAATCACCTACTAGTGATCGATAACTAGCAGCAGAAAAGACGTTGATGTCTAGCCTTAGCTACAGAATTCAGTATACCTCGAAATCCAAAATCATGGTGTGAAAAGCATACAACGGGGTGTGTAAATGTGCTTGGATTTTGGGCCTGGTTTGCACACCCTTACACGAGGCTTTCTGGAGCCCAATACCAAAGCATGGCAAGAAGGAGTCTTATGGCTTAGGATTAAAAACCATTGCTCGCGGCATTTTGGCTTGCTTCATTGTAGAGGGAGCAAGTTGCGAGACTCGGAATAATAAGGAAGAAAATTGGAAAATCAAGAGAGAGGAAAAAAACAGGGCAAAATAGAGCCAGAGGTATCATGAACACAGCTTACGCAAAAACCGGCATTCCATATGACCGCAGGAGAGAAGAAGCTCAACACTTTTACTTTTACCCAGTACCCAAGCTGTTGAGATGCAACCGAATGTGAACTCTCACAAAAAGGAATGCAAAGGAGCACAACATAAACTTCTTCCACCAATTTAGAAACTAGAAAGCGCCGTTTATTGATTGAACAATTTAGAAAGAGGACGCCAAGAAAGAAAGAAAAAAAAAGAAAACATACAACAGCAGGGATTCGCTGGTGGTCACCCACCCAACTACTAATCTGCCGATCTGAGGCTTGTGTATGGCAGAGCGGACGGGATGCCCAATTCTCCTCAGTCTATGGTCGTATGTGACAATTCATGGTGTCGTAGATATTATATTCAGTTAATAACTGGTATCACCGCCGCTAAAACAATTTGGTTTCAGCACTCTTCTTGCTCAGGGCAACAATGTTGTCCCCTATTGCCATTTGAAAAGGTGTGAGTAACTATCAGAGAGATGTTGATTGGAGAAAGAGCTTGTCTGCTGGAATGGAATAAGTTAGAATGCCATTAAGATAAAGCATCACGGATCTATCACAGTCCGCTCAACTGAAGAAGCTTTCGAAATCGAAAAAGCATGGAGGCAACCGGCATTAGCCTCCAAGTGGTTTTGTTCCTATTTTTATTGAGCTTTAAATCTAGACTCGTGATGACGGCGTGATAAGATGGTAAGTTGGAGTAGTTATCCGAGTAAAAAGAGGGAAGTGTTGCAAAATTGTGCTGGGTGATACTGGAAAGTCGAGCAACTAATCCATGGAAGTATGACGAAAACAAAGTTTGCTATTATTCGATTATATTCTATGTGCCAATTTTTCATTCGGTGTCGATGTAGCCCTTCACAAGTTGTGACAAAAACAATCATACATTCTTGTACATAAGCCGAGGGTATCAACAATCGTCCAACGCCTGCCCAACTTGCTGCCTTCCTCCCTGTAACAACGCCATATGAAATAAGACAACTCCTTAACCTCGATGGTAGGATCTCAAACGCCGTGTGCTCGCGCCTTTCTATGAGCAACTATTTGATCATGAAGGTTGTACTGGCTCCGGCGCAGTTGTATTGTCGGTCCATTCGAATTCTGCATAATCAATCAGCATTCTGCGATAGTCTCGTCAATCGTAAAAGAATCTTACTCTGTCTGCACATAGGACACTGCCCTTTAGACGAATCTTGTTTGATCCATTCTACTATACAATGCTGATTCTTCGTCAACATCGGTTCCGTCAATCAATGGAATCCGTCACTGACCATATGGAAATTATGCCCGCATTTCCCTGATACTATTTTGGCTGATTAGTTGCGCCACGCAAGCATAAGATGTCGAAGTGGCATACGCAAACTGCAATCGTCTCCGGGGTATTTGCAAGTAGGACATGTCCCATCGAAATGTGCCTGGCAAATACCACAGACGTCGTCTTCGTCAAGATCCCACCTCCAAGTTGCAACCGCGTTCCATGTTCTGATCTTTACTTTCATTTTCTTAGTCTTTGGCGCTGGTTTCCGCGACTATTTTTTGGAGCTCGAGTATTAGTATAAAAGCAACTTCAAACGTTGTGAACGTTGAAGGCCGTGGACGCGATGCGATAACTCAATTGATTCAAATCAACAAATAATGCGGGGGAGCAACGACAAGCGGTCATGTCACGTGCTAAGACTTTTGAAGCTCTGATAAGCTTCTGGGCGGTTGATAAGGTTACACCACAAGAAATCTCCAACAACCAAAACAACTACAAACCAAGGAAGATTCCAACACACATATATTCCAATCTTTGTTACGAATTTGAGAACTCATTGTTCAGATCTAAGATTCAAATACTCGGCGCATCTCCAAACTCCAGCTTCGAATCAAAATTTGTTAAAGCTTGCTCAAGTTAATGGTAAATTCTTATTAGTCTGCGATAACATCATATCTGCCATAATGGCAGCATCTATGCTCTATCGAAGAGCTCCAACTTTGAGCTCTTTCTCACGACAACCTCTCACTTCTACATTTTCTAGATACATCACCATGACTTCCCATCGATCATTCTCATCGTACCTCGTCACTCCCTCCGAATTATCCGAAGCTCTTAAAAAGAATCCCCCCTCCAAGATCTCGACATCTCCCCGCACCGTCGCCCTCTGCTCAACATGGTTCCTCCCTACGTCTCCTCTCAATGGTCTCCAAACCTTTCGCGAAAAGCGAATTCCCTCTAGTCGTTTCTTCGATCTCGATAAGGTATGCGACAAACGTTCTCCTTATCCTCATATGCTTCCTGATGCGAAAACATTCGCATCTGCTATGAGCGCGCTGGGAATCCGCAGAGATGATATAGTTGTTGTATACGATTCTCACGAGCAAGGTTTATTCAGCGCGCCGAGAGTAGGATGGACATTAAAGGTTTTCGGGCATCCAAGTGTACATGTTTTGAATAATTTCAAATTGTGGGTGGAAGGGGGATATCCAACTGAAAGTGGGGAATTCTGGGATGTTGATACTTGCGCATATCCGATTCCACAACTGGATGAAAGTAAAGTTGCCGATTTCGAGGAGGTTAGTGAAATTATCAAAGATACTGGTAAAGAAGGAGCGGAAGGTGTACAAATATTGGATGCGAGAAGTTATGGAAGGTGGACCGGAATGGACCCCGAGCCCAGAGAAGGTTTGACCAGTGGTCATATGAAGGGTAGTATCAGTTTGCCCATGGGAGAACTATTGGATCCAACTACCAAGACTTTGTTACCCGCGGACCAATTGAGGAAGATATTTGAGAGCAAGGGTATTGATCCGACAAAGCCTATCGTCAGCAGTTGTGGTACAGGTGTTACAGCTACCATTATCGATGCTGCATTGGCAGAAGCATATGGAGAGTCGGGTGTACGAAAAGTATATGATGGAAGTTGGACGTGAGTTTCACTATGTCTCTTGCTAATTCGTTAACGTCACTAACCTCAACAGTGAGTTCGCTCAAAGAACCAGTATTCCGGACGGACTAATTGTCAAGGATGAATAAGTTATTGCATTTCAGCGCTTGCGGCAAATATACCCACTCTACTCAAGGGCTTTTTACAATGATGATATCTATGATACGCAAGTTTCAGCGAATGCAATTAGGTTACGGATTTTAGCTTTGCGAATACTAAGAAAGGCGCACGTGGGAATTTGATTTTAGGGAGGTATAGATGCATATGATGTTTAGCTGATGAAATATCTTGGAGGAGAACCAATGGAAAATTCAAAAAGGCACATTTTTCCAGCAGTCCCTAACTTGTGACTACTTTTTCTATAGGAACAGTGATGATTACTTGCCCAGACCAATCCCAAATGCGAAAATCCACACATCTAAGTCCAAATATGCCGGCTGGTGCTTTCTCACTCACTTGCTTCCGTAGAAGAACTCTTGTCCTACCATACTATAGGCCAGGAAATGCCAGTAGTTAATTCGTTGCGCTCTCTTCGGCCTTAAGACAGCATTACGCTATCATCTTCGAGTGACAACGATTGATCTCCATGCCGTGTACGCGTACTAGCTTGACAATGTTACAACATTGGCTGTCAGCACGAGTGTGCTTCGAAGAGTTTCATGTAGCTGTTGCTATCTTGGTTCTTGATTTACGTCACCGTTAGGAGCTTGCTAGGTATAGATTGTATCAAAAATGTAAACTCGGGTATCTGTAGTTTTCGTTAAGATGATGGTGTAAATCATGAGCAGATAGTTCTGGGGACGTTCCGGCTAGAAAATGGGTGATAATCTATGGTTGCTGGAATACGTTATTCGAATTGTGGAAATTAGAGGGATGGCGGGATATTTGATGGTTGGGAGTGGGAGTTCTGGGTTGATCACAAGAAAGGCTGCTTTGCCTTGCTTTTTCCTCTCTATTTAATATCGCTACTTCATAAATCTCGTCCGGGATTATTGAGCGCTGTCAAATGGGTGCAAAGTATTTGTAAATGGTCTGGTGAAATTGCAATTATTGATGGAGTGCAAGATTTCATTGTTCTGCAAATAATTGGAGCTTGAGGGATGTTGGATAGGCAGTTGGAGAATGATATCGGGCTTTCAAAAGACGGGGCGAGAACGAGAGCACTGAATTACTGTCATCAGGAGAATTTTGGGGAAATTGTGAAAGCGAAAAGGCGGAGTCGATAGTGTAATGATTTGGATGTCGAGGATATGTGATTAACCAGCAATCTCCTATATGTATTGCAGATGAATTTGCGAATGTTGTGTACTCTGCTTCCACCAAGCGGTGGATTACGCTCGCTATAGTTCACAAATAAGTATCTATTTAATAACAGCTCAGTGATTTCTCATCCATTCAGGTCATGTCTTCGAAGGAGAGATTCGTTGTGCCAGGGGAAGAGATGGTCATCTCTACAAAGACTTTAGACTGAGACTATTTTCAATCAGAAACTAGGGACATTGTCTCCAGTACTAGGCACATTTCGTTGGTTTATGATGAGATTTTTGCACTGTTAGAACCAGAGTCATCATTCTCATTCCCGATAGCAACAAGCCTATAATCAAGGATGAAAACTTCTTGGATTGTTACTATTACTCTCGGATCTTTACCCTAAAATATCTATAATTTTTTACAGAGATTTCCAGCGGAATTGCTTCCTTAGATCGTAATTCAAGAGAAACGCTCACTTCATGTAGGATGAGCTACAACATTTGCAGAATTCAAAACTCCGGAACTCAGACCTCTTAAACAGCCCGTCTATACATTTCAAACCCAATAGTACACCAATTCTCGTCCCTTCAGAAGACGCTTCACTTCGCTGACATGGAATGCTAGCACCGAAATCATCGCTCAAGGGGTTGTAAATTTCACGGGGCAGATTTTCATGGTAGGTACTCATACTTGTGAAGCTAGTGCTTGCTGTGTGAAAATGCATTCACTGAATCGCGGAATAGAATTCCCTACCAATATCAAGATTGAGGAAACTAGAAGCAGGCTTCTAGTCAGTCCTTTCCCATGTATCTAATCATGTCAGAATTGATTCACTTCCTATCAACAACCCCGCTTATGCTCTCCTTCTCCCCCTTTCCAACACTCATGAAATCTCTGATTTTGATTTTTAAAATCGCTGAATAATCTGGTTACCTGAGTATACAATCAGGACAAGTGATCTCTCTTTATCAAAGGTTTCAAGGTTGTGGAGATGTTCCAGTCAATTTGATTTCATCGGGTCCATTCTATCTGGACTCTTCTAATTCGTGTCGATCTCGTAGTGTTGCTACACGATATTTTCCAGCACCTGATATGTGAGTCTACAAGGTGTGTAGTGATAGTAATAAGAGCAAAGACAACACTCATACTCCGTCATGGTTTCCTAACACAATTCATCCCGAATGCCTTCATTTTCCTTCTTCTTTTCTCTTCAAAAGAATCCATATCTGCAGGAGCCAATTGGCAGTTTCTGGCCACAACCCTGGGAGGGTTTTCCTTTGTTCCTCTGATATGGGTCGATATCTCGCCTGGGACGTCTCTTATATAATAAAGTTCCAAACTCTAGAGGTTACTTCAATACATCGCACCTCTATCCATAAAGCCCAGTCCAGCAGTGAATGAGGGGTTCAATTGACGTCTCTTCCAATTGAACGTTCACCAATTCTTCATCTTTCTTCCCGAGTTACTCCTATTCCCCCCCTCCCCCCCCTTTCATATCCCATATCTCCACTTATTTCTATGCCTATTACCTTCTTATATAAGGAGCTCCTCGTCTCTCTCTTTTTTTCCTCCCACAAAGCTAGAAGCATGGATCCTTCGAAGATCTAGGTGGCGTTGTGGTATCGGATCTCAATACTTAGTTATTTGTGCAAAGCCAGCAAACACCCACTCATGACTTCTGAATGCGAGTTATCTCTACGTCGAAGTTTGGATGTGCGCGTGTGAAAAATTTGTCGCTAGTTGTTATCATTTTAATTATTTCAGAAAATCGACGACAATAATTTTGTCGTTGTCGATCTCCTGGATAGCTATTTTGAGACGAGATTTAAGCGTAATGCGAGCAACGAAAATGAACACCCGACCCATCCTCTAATTTCGCCATCCGGTTTTCCTCCGAATCAAGATTCGTTTGAGAAGATTCAAACTTTCCACATACCTCGATCTCTCCCTTTGTTGAGTTGTGATTACTTCTGAGGAGATAGCTGATAAATGTACAATGCATCAGCTGCACTCTTAAATCTTGGATTTCTCAAAACGCTTATCCAGCACCGAGTGAATAACATAATTTTCTCATCCCTTTTTTTTTTGTTCTTGAATTTCCTCTCACCACGCAATGTAGATATCAATTCACCCATCCTTCCCGTCCTTATTCGCACCTTCTCATCTCCTTAACATCTCAGTCTCATTTTCTCGTAATTCACTCTTACTTCCGCTCCTTGACTCACTCTCTCTCTCAACTCCACTCTACACCATACATAACCTTGCTTCCATATCCTCCTCCTACATATATAATCATCCTCCCTCTTGCCACCTTCGATCTTCTCAAGACACACAAGAAATATGCCTTCGAACACACCAAGGCTCTAATTTACCCTTGACACCGAGAACTTGCTCTTTGAACAAATCTTGAAGTGACATACATAGTCTAAGTATCTAATCAAGTTTAAACAACAAAAGTATGCATCTGGTTTTTATTGACGGTATTTCGAATTTCAAATGTAAGCGAGGAGTCGATTTTCGCTGTGTGTTTAACTCACGAGTACATGAGAGCAATAACTTTCATGAATCCAGATGAAATGATAACAACTCACCATATTTTCTCCAACTCCAGGGCTTCCCCAGATCAGCCATACGAGTCAAACATTGGCATCCCTCATTCCTCAAAATTGTACGACTTCAAACCTTATGAACAATCTTCCAAAATTGTCCTCAGAATTGTAGATTTCTAGGCACTACTTTCTCTGTTCTTCAAAAACATTCAGTTGCTGTAGGATTCCAGCTTTGAGCTTTAGTTATGTTGAAATCTTGGCTAAAAGTCTACCTTTATATAGTTCATCGTTTCCTTTTGCTTTTGATATTCACTTTCTTCTATCTCTATTCATATCTCTTGGTTTCTCTTAGTGTGTGTAGGTGTTTTGTTGTACCTCGCCCCTTTCAGCCCGAGCTTTGTCTTGCAAAATAGAAAGACCGCTTTACATTTCTCGACTCATTCTACGATGCTTGAGATCAAGATAACTTATTACAATGCTTTCTAACGCAAATCCTGACTTCCCGATTAATAAAGTTCATTTGATACACATCTGCGAGTGTGGTAAGATTCTCTTCCGTATTCATTCTATGGCTGTAATTCCGGAAGCAGGAGAAAGGGAGAGTGGTGCGCTAAGCGATAAATGATTCTATTTCTAATTCCCAGGTCAGATACTTCGAACCGAAGATTTACTCGAGTACAGTAGACGAACCCCCCTTATTCTCCTCAAGCTCTTTATCCAACTACAATGTATGTACAGTTCCAATCCTTAAACACACTTCATTTAATAACAAAACACCGGAGATATTTTCTTCTTTCTTATAAAAAGTAAGAAATTAACAGAAATATCATACAACCACCATCACGATCTGAATTCAAGAGAGAGTATATCTCAATCTACCATTTCCTCCTTCGTTTCTTCCTCGAAACCTCCTTTTTCCCTCGCAACTCCTCCGACTCGGATATTCACTCATCTTTTACGCCAATAGATCTATATCTATACTACTCATTCACCACCACCACCACCTGGCGGCATGAACTTTCTCATTCGAGTACACCTCGTCCTGAAACCTCTATCCCATGCATACGTACCAAGAGATATATAGTTTCTCCTTCTCTAAACAATCTCCTCTCCAAGCATTTTAGACAACCAGTCGGAGAACCGGTTTCATGGTGTTTGTTCTGAAGACAAGACAAGACAGATTTGAATGTCTGCTCCAAAACGTGGAAGTTTCAATAATCAAGATAGGATGGCGATTATAGTTTTCTAGTAATGTTGTATATCTATTCATTCTTCATTCTTCCAAAATCATTATGAGATGATATATCAGCATCGTTGCCATCAGAACTTCCGAATAAATAGCCGGTACCCTCAAACGACAACAATAACTAGCAACAAGCAACCAACCAACCAACCAACCCAAATCAACCCTTCCCATCCATTCTTATCATCTTCCCTTCTACCCACTTCCAACATCAGCCACACGCATGCATATCTTTTCTTGAATTTCTTCGTTTTCAGAAGGAATGCAGATTTCACACAATTGTTTTGTCT